AAGCGCTCCAAGCGCTCTGCACTTCTCAAAGAAGTGGACAGCTCTGGAACTGATCACTGGAAAGGAGGAACTGTCTTCGATTCTGGTGATGATCCTGATGACCAAGACTTGACTGCTTTTCTGGAAGCGAACGCGTCCTTTCTTTACCAGATGACACAGACAGCTGCCTTTACAGACACGTGTCCATATTTCAATACCGGTTTCCTTCTGTTTTGTGTTTGCCTTCATGCTATGGTGTGACTGTGGAGCAGCTCCACTTGACAATGTAAGGACTTGAGTCATTTGACCAGGAAGTATCTTCCCCCCTGGCACAATATTTGAAGTCTTTCAGTACTATTGCGCGTGGTGTTCAGCTCACGCAATTGATGCACAAGCTTCGTGCCTTGGATCATACATTCAGATCGGAAAACACAGATCAAACAAACACATTTGGGGGCACAATCAATTTCAACTTTCCGACACCCAACAGGTACGGCACGTTCTTGCGTCGCTGGAACCAGAAATGGGGGGTGATCATGAAGTTCAGACAGCAGTCCAACTTCAGCCAATGTGACATCTGTCAAGAGCTGAAATTTCAGTGACTTGAAATAATTACCATGGAAAAGACTTTTTTGATACTGTCACCCAACAACCAGTCCCTCAAATAGTTTGTGTTTGCTGCAAGGCCAAAAACACCACAAGGTTTCAGAACAAGGACTTACCGATGGATACAAGGTTAGGAGCTCTGAAGACATATCGGGAACATTTGGTCAGCCAATACTCGGACCGTTGCGCGTACTGGGCAATCCGTGACATCTCAGCAAATGAGCTCAGCAAGACTGTTGTGCTTACAACGGATGGGGCCGATCAGGCAAGATAGTCAAACAACATTAAAGGTTTTACAAGCTTTTGTCACCAAACAAAAGGGTTGTAAGTACAACAAGATTTTGTGCCCCTCAAGGCCAAATACCAAGTACCAAGAAGCCCGTCCTTGCGCACATGCTATCGTGGAGCAAAACACCAGCGAGCAAAAATCAAGATACATGGCTGTTGGGCACCAGGATATGTCCTGAGACTGGCTGTGGCCGAAGAAAATGTCTACCACGGATCCAGCCTTGTTTTGGAGCTTTTGAGTGTGACTATCGAGGACATCATGAGAATAGCCCGTGAGAAGGGCTGGCCACAGCCAAATACTTTGGTTGTGGTCGGCGACAACACGGTAAAGGAGCTGAAGAATCGGTATTGTTTGGGAGCAATGGCCCAATACATAAACCATCACAAGTTCCAGCAGTTTTGCGAAATGAGCAAATGTTTGCTTATTTTATGGTAAACACCAGTTCCGAGAACATACATGTATATATATTATATATATATGTATAATATATATATATATATATATTATTGTTGACTAATTTTGTTTTGGAGGGCGAAATCACATGTTACTTTTGTTTAGCACAAACAAACCAACAAGTAAGGTATTGTTGCATGATGATGCTACGTGTGTCACACACACACGACGCCATTGGCCGCTGGGCTGTATCACACTAACTGTATCACACTAACACACTCAAGTTTATATATGGATTTTAACTATAAGCCAGGTTCTTGTTGCAGTGAACAAACCTTCATCTAAGACCAGTTGTGGGGACTGCTATCGAGACAACTGTGCAAGTCTACGCAACTGTTGGATGCATCCTCTGTGCGCGATCTACTTGAGACAGAGCTCCAAAAGACCAATGTGAAAGCTTGGGTGAATGGTGAGGTCAACGTGACCGTGCTGAGGAGATACAGAAACTGGAAAGTCCACTTTGACAAGTTCTCTCCTGCAAGCTATGATTCTCAACTTTGCCAAGTTCCTATTGAATTTATATAGTTTCATGTTAATGTACTTGTTTTCTTTATCTAGACATATATAGTTTGGTTGGTCATGGCTCCAAATGGTTCACAATTATCTTCCAAACAAACATATTCAATGAACCCAAAGGAAGGGGGCCTGCTCTTGGACAAGACTGCCAATCATTTTTTCTTCTTCTGCAAGAGACGAGGAGCGGAGTTTGAAACAAACGGTGTATTCCAAAACATTATTGTTTTTTCACTTCGCACGGGCATTCATTCCCTGCCAGACTTGCCAAGACATCTTGACCAAGATGAGGGGACAATGCGGAAAGCAAAACACGACGATGACACGTTTGTGATTGCGAAGGAGTACATCTCATCCACAAGCATTCGCCAACTGCCTTTACTCGTATTGAGGTCAGAACACCGAGCCTCCTATCCACTTACGACTGATCGACTCCTGGTGCTGTGCTGCCGTAATGTGTTCCAACATTTACCTTTGTTCAAAAACATGGCTCTTACCCATGTTCAAAAGCAACATGTTGTTTGGTGCACTTACTTGTTTACTTGTGGTTGTTTGATTCTAATGCTGAGGAGAGATGCCAAAAAGACCTGTATCGCAAGCACTTCGAGCTGGTTGGGTTGCTCTTGCAGCAATATTTGAAACACTTTTGGGTGGCAGCCCAGCAGGCAGGCAAGCAGCCACCTACCTTCGAGATTTGGCTGCTGATCAACTACCTGAACACCCTTTGCATGCTTTGCCCTGGCATAACCAGGATGTGGCACCAGATGTGGTGATTGCACGACATGAGCCCCATCCTTGTGTGCTTGCGGTCTTATGCCCAAGTGTTCCACTGAGAGTTGTTTGGCGGCGCAACATTGGGTGATGTTGATAGTATGCATACTAGTACGCATGGATAAACAACATATGTCATCATATGTCAATGTTATTTGTTGGTGCTCCACCGCTCAGTGTGCTCCAGAAAGGTTGCTCTGCAAGGCTAAGCCTTCAACCAACCCCACCTGTTGCTGAAAACAGTTCTGACTTGAGATTTCACTGTTTGCCAACAGCAAGTGTTTTTCCACACAGAAACACACCACATACTGAGGCGCCACTGAGGAGGTGCAGGTTTGAGAGCTGGCTGAGCGACAACTTAACACAGTTGCTGCACCGCCCATGTGTGGCATCGGTAAACATTTATTAAATGTCAATCCGATTTACATTTTGTGCTAGAGATATTATTTTTGTTTGGCCACAAAACAGGGCAAGCAGTTGTGCAACACAATTAGGACTTAGACACAAATGACAGAAATTTTAGGGAGGCAAGCAATTGCTTTCCAACTAATGTTGTGAACACAAAGTTGGTTTCATACTCATTTTGAGTTGATTTGAGACCGTGACAGTTTGTGTGCGCGGCTGAAATTCAGAAGCGAACTCGAATCTGCCAGAGCGTCAGAAGAAAGCAACATTCTCTTTGGATGGCATGAAAACGATGGCACCCACAGGGAGTTTGATGACCACCCAACGTCCAAACTTTGGTTGTCGTCCGGGTGCCGGACTACAAAGACTTTCATCTAAAGTTCAATCAGTCCACTGACTCTTGAGAAATCTCAAAACCTCAGTATCATTGCCCTTGTTAAAATTTGTATAAAGTCTTTGTGGTCTGGCACCCGGACAACGGACAAATCAATGACCACCGGACGTCACAACTCTTGCTGTGGGTGCCATCAAAAACGACTCATCCAAAGTTCCTGGGGTCCGGCTGCCGGAGTACGGAGACTTAGGATGAGTCCCACCCCCA